AGTTACAGTGGGGGCTTGACTTGAGAACTTAATCCGTATTGGAAGGCAGTTCTGGGACAAGATTTCTCAAAGAAGGTTATCAAACCAGGAGTTGTTCACAACAGTCCTTGCCCAGGGGGAGATTGGGCACGACACCCTTGCTGTGGAACTATTTTTGCAGTCCGGAGTGCTCATTTGAGGAAACCCAGCAACAGAGAACGGTTTGGGCCAGCCCCACAATAAATCAAGAGGGACTAAATCAAAAGTTAACATTTTCAACACGTGAGCAGTTATAAGATGTTAATTTATTTGAACCTATAGAGGTAGTTGTTGATTCTCCTAATGTTAATACCAATAAAAATGTAAATGTTCGTGAAGAGACTCTGTTATCATTTCCCACCAAAAAGGAGGAACTGCTGCAGATATTTAATGAACCCAACAAGATACCTTTCACCACTTGATGGACCACCTCTTCTAAAAACATGCTAAGCATATCATGTAGTTGGACCCTGGTGCAAAACTATCACATTAGTACTAGTGATGAGGATAATGTAAAGTCATCAAATTATGTGGCTTGTAAGACCCCTTGCATGTCACTTACATATCTAGAACCTACTAATAGAGCTTGCCCTAATAAATAGTCTGGATTTTTTAGAGTTCAGATTCAGATGATGTTTTGCTACATATTTATAACACGCTGCACTATCACAAATACACTCGTATCAAGGACTATGTTTCAGCACAGCAGGACTATGTTTCTGAAGGTGCACATGCAAAATTCATGGAAAAATAAAGACAAGGTAGTTAACACCAAAATAAACTAGTCATTATTTCTTAAAATAGGAAAGACAGACATATTTGTAGAATTTTTTATTCCACCCTATTCCACCCTTGTGTGAAGGACACAATTCAAATTGAATGGAAATAAAGTGATTTGTACCATTATTAGGTTATAAACATCCCCATTTATAAACAGAATACCGTATTTTTCTGTTTATAACACCCCCCATTTATAAGACACCCCCTTTTCTAAACCAAAAATTAAGAAAACCTAGCTTTGAGGATTGTGAGACAGGAGGCGAGTCGGGGTCACCGCTCGCTGGAGGGCTGTCCATTCCCACCAAAGAGGCAGAAAATGGAGGGAAATGTGGACTCCATATGACTCCAGAAGAAGCCCTAGAAGAGTCCTTACAGTACCTGAGGCTGAACAGGAGGCATTAGCCCATGAGGGGATGGGAGTAAGGGAAGAGCAGTTGAAAGAGGCAGGAAAAGGGAGCAGAGAGAGGGAGGAGATAGAAGCAGGGGAAAGAGAAGTGGTAGGACAGGGAGAAACATTGCCTCCCCATCAGGGGAATGGATTTGGATGCAAGATCTGTGGGCCCAGAAGTGGGAAAGATTGAGAATACCCAGAGAAGAGGCAGATCATAGGAGAAGGCCAGTGATTCCCCCCCAACCATCTTATTGGGGGGAAGCTGAAGCTAGAGTGTGGAGAAAGAACGTAAGGGAAGAGAGAGAGAAGGTAGCGGAGGACAGATGTAAGAGAAGTGAATGGCGAGTTCAGGAGATGAGGAAGATGGAGGAGTGAAGGTCTGGGGAATCTTAGACTCATGGAGGGACCCCAAGTGGGAAGATTTCCTTGGAGGCGTGGTCGTGCCCCTGTTGCTTGTATAGACGGGCACGACATTAAAGGAATGGACACCTCCAGAACTTCCAGGACCCTGGAATTCCAGTTATGGCAACCCCTTCGTTGTAGAAGAATGGAAGCCCCTTTCTGCCCCGTTGGAGGAAGGAGACAGAGACTTTACGTCAGTTCATGATGATGGTTTATTTGTTAATGTGAAAACAAATGTTCCACAGTTATTTATGCAAACATTGTCTGGTGAAGTTATTGGTGAAACTCCAGCCTTAAAGTACCGAACCCACACAGGGATTCAGCCTCTGGGCTCAGAACGGTTGGACGTTTTGAGTCCCTGTTGCATTTGAGCCTACAGGCTCCACCTCCAAGGAGGGGTGTTCCAGTTGGTTTGTACAGCATCAGCTGACATCAGTTCCATAAGGCTCATGATTGGAGGAAGTGAAGTCTCCTGACTATAGGAAGCTAAGCCTGGTGACTGAAGGAAGCCTGTTTACAGAGGCAAGGTATGTGCAGTTTTGTTCTTTCCTCAGCTATCTCAGCTTGCTTCCGTGTAAAAGACGCCCCTCAATTTTTAGTGTAATGGTTTTAGGAAAAAGTAGTATCTTATACATGGAAAAATACAGTAATATGAGTGAATGACTAGAATGACAGGAAAAATATTCTCAAAAGAGAATCAGGTTTGTGCTCAGTGTGACTCTTTGGCCTAGCTGTCAAGAAATGGCAGAGACATCTTGTCAGTTTTCCTTTGGACAGCGAGGTTTCACAGCCCTAGCATCATGTCACACAGGGGGAAAGAGGTCTCAGAATGGCTTGCACTGACTCTGTTTAATGAAAAAATTGTTTTTCATTTGGTGGATGGGCTGAGAAGTCAACTTGGAATTTAAATATCGTGGCAACACTAGAAGCTAAAATGATTAAATTGAAACTATCAGAAAGTTTGGACATATCATGAGAACACAAGACTCACCAGAAAAGGCAATAATGCTATGAGAAAAGTGGAAAGTAGTAGAAAAGCAGAAGAGCTAACATGAGATGGATTGACTCAGTAAAGGAAATCATTGTTTTTAGTTTACAAGTCCTTTTAATGATTATTCATTCATAGTGTCAACATAAGATGGAAGCAACTTGATGGCATATAACAATGCCCGTGTTAATTTCTTGTCTTCTGGCCGCCAAAGTAGACATAATATTTACAACATTACTGGCCTTTGTACTTCTTCTTCTTTTGTTTTACTAAGAAAAATGTGTAAGGGACAGCTTGCAAAAATTATCTTTCTTTGGATTACAACCCCCAGAATCTTCTAGCCAGCATGGTTGCTGCTAGTTTGGTGTTTCTGAGAGCTGCGCATTGTGGTCTGTAAGATAACTTTTCCAACCTCTGATTTAAATTGGAAAAGGTATACTGAAGTGTGGAAGACCAGTTCTGCGATCTAGGTTCTGCCTGGCAAGACCATGTTGGTGGTGATGTCTCATCTCACTCGCACCCATGCAGCTCTGTCTCTTTATATGGAAAAAATGGTAAAGGAAAAGGTTGAGATGTGTCTATTCTGGACTGCTTCGAGTGTGCCTTGCATCTCATTAGATTTAAAATCCTTGGCATGATGGAAAACATATGGCTGGGTTATTGCTAGCTCAAACCATGTGGATAGGTTTTATTAAATTTGTCCCATAGATACCTGATAAACGATATTAATTTGTTGCTGCTCTGAGCAAATATGGGTTATCATGACAGAAAGATGAATCAGTAGGAACATTACATAGTATTTAGGAGGAAAAGATATTCAGGTTGACTTGCCCGTTGGCCCAGCTCAGCAAAGTAGGACTTAAATATGTAGCAGGCTGTTGGATCTTTTTAGTATTTGAATTCCATTAATGTTTTCCTGCCTTGCACAAGCAAAGCAATCCAAAGCCTGCTTTGCAACCTGAATGATTACTCAGAATTGCACTGATTTCAATAGGGCTTGAAAGAATGCAGCCCTTAAAAGGGCTGCAACCATGGTCAATGTGCTCCTGGCATTATTTATCTAAAAGACAATGCAATGTGCAATCTTAATGGATTTTTGTGGTAACAGAAGAGACAACAGGTTGAGGTGCTCTTCCTTCGACCACAGGGTAAGGGCTCTGGAGCCTGTGTCTTTTGCTCCATAGTTCAGAACTCATGCTTCTACAGTACTACGCAGTTCTGATAAACTCATAAGAAAACTGATATACTGTATGTTATTTGACTTAACCCTTTATGAGATATTGGAAAAAATGCGCAGAACTGTAGTTTGTGCATTTTAGAGTGATCAGTCCAGCCAGTCAAGTTCCTTGATTAAATCCAGAACAAACACTATCCTCCTAATAAATATCTTTAGAGGTTCATCAGGGCCCTGTGATGTTCCTCTCCTACATCCTTCTTTTCTAAAATATCTCCAAGACCCGGATGCTGACCCAGAGATTGGGAGTTCGATTCTCCACTGTGCCTCCTTGACAGGGCCTGGACTTGATGATCCCTTCCAAGCTTTGCAGTTCTACCACTATTAGGATCTGTGACAATTTTATTGCTGCACAAGCATTGGCCCATTGCATCTGATGAAATACTATGAGCATGTTTGCTTTCAAGAGCCTTTTGTTGCTTTTGCTGCATTGAGCTGAGGCAGCTATCTGTCCGGATCGTCTAGCTTAAGCCTCACTTGTTGAATGCCTCCTTGTCACGAAAACGTGCCGCAATTCAAGGGCGGGGCAGGAGAGCAGTGGGTGCCTCGCCCGCCGGACATGTTCCCCCATCTGCGTTCTAGTCCTCATGGGTTCGGGATATCAGATGCTCGGCGACCAGAGACCCGTCCACGTCTGCAACCCACTTGGAAACGTTTTGCCCAAGTCCGAGGGATTTCCCCGCCGCTCCTTGGGAATGAAACAGACACGGACTTCATTTATTCCAGCTCTCCACCCTCACCTCCCATCCCCGCTTCCTTTTGCCAAGGAAACTGCTTTGCCTACGTGCCAGCCGGGTGGCTTCGCACACCTTGGTGTGCCTTCGTCCTCCCGCAGGGCAGAAGGGGCTTGCCTGCCCAGTCTGCATCCCCTCTGACACCTCCGGCGCTTCTTCGGACTGCCGCCCTCTCTAGCCCGCCTTCGCCGGCCGGCGACTCTCCTCCCCTGGCGAAGCGCTTCGGCTACTGCCGCAGAGGAGGGAGGGAGCGTGCGCTCGCCCGCCCGCCCGCGCCGCGCCGGGGAGTCCACGCAGCCACACTTTCCCGCCCCTCCCCGGGCTTCTCCGTCACGCCTCGCGGTTTCACCTCAGGGAAGAGGAGGCGGAGGCGGAGCGCGGAGGCGGGCGGGCGGGCGGGAGAAGAAAAGGAGGGAGGAGGGAAAAAAAAACACCACACCACACATAGCCACCCCGCACTGCTTTGCCGGTACCTCCAGCCAGCCAGCGAGCTGCACGGCAACCACGCCGAGCTTCTCCGTGCGGCTGGAGAGCGAGCAACCGGGCCGAGAGGGAAAAGCGAGACCGGCGGCTGCAGGCTTCGCTTGGAGTGGGTAAGGAGGCGAGGCTTCCCTCAGGGCACCGGCTTGCCGCCTTGGAGGAACTTTGATCCAAATGTCTCTAGCCCGGGCCTCCGCTGCGCTCCCCCGCCGGTCGGCTTTGTTTGGGTTCAAACTGCCGGTGGAGGAACTTTTCCCTTCCAGCTCCGCTGGGGTCCAGGGAGCCAGTCCGGCGGGCGAGCGGTGCCGGGGAGAGGCGGCGAACTCCCCTGCGGCTCGCGCCCAGCCCTGGGAAAGCTCAAGTTACGTCGAGTTCGGGGTGGCGAGACTTTGCGCGGGGTCTGCAGAGAGGCTTCCCGAGCCTCGCATCTGGGTACCTTGGGGGCAAACGCGGTGGATTTCCTGACCGGTGGCCACCCTTATTCCCAAACCTTATCCCTACCTTTCTCTCTCTGTGTTGGTGCTTTTCGTTTCTTAGCTGGGGAACGGGGTAGGGGAAGGTAGACGGGCGAGGGGCGCTCCGTTGGGGAGTGTGTTTTGGGGAGGCGGCGGCGCGGCAGTTGTCAAAAAGTGCTTCAGGGAAGCAGGTATGGAAAGCTGCAGACAGGAATGGCTGGAAAGGGGGAGGGGGGGAAGAGGACGCCGAAGATGCCCGACGGCTGCCAAAGATCGAGCCCAGCCCTTTGCAGTGCGATGCGACGGGGAAAGCCGTGAAGCGTTTCAAAGTCTTTAAACCCGCACGCCACCAGCCGTTACCTCCTGCAATAAGTGCATGAATCTGCAGGATTTCTCACACACACACACCCGCACCTCCACTCCCCGGGCCAGCTTGCCAAGTTATGGGGTTGGAAATTCACCTCCTATCAGACCTCGAAAAGGCTTTATACCGATTCTGGTTATTGAACTTTTCATATCCTTCGCCAGGCAGATGGGTAAGCGGCGAAGTTGTTTTGGGAATTCCCTCCCGAACGCGCGAGTTTTCCTTTCCTTCCTCGTCTCTTGATGGCTCGCTGGCCGCCAGCACGGAGGCAAAGAGGTGAACGATCATCGGGAAGGCTGCAAAGGTTGGGGGTCCCGGGGGGCGCGCGGAAGGGATTCCTTGAGCTAAGCTAGCGCAGCGTTCCCGGGGACTTGGACAGGGATGGAAGCGCGTGGGTTCTCCCGCCCGGCGCGCGCGCCTGCCTCCCCAGAGTCACGACTGGGAATCCCTCTCTCCCTCCCTCTACTCCCTCCCCTCCCTCTCCTTCCGCGTGCGCCTGGGGAACGCGGAACTAATCGCTGGAGGCTGACTGGTAGGGGGGAGGGGGGATTACGCGGGGTTGCCCCTTTCCCCCCATGTGAGCAGAAAGCGGGCGGGCGGTGGGGAAAGGACAGGCGTAATGCAAAACGGGAGTTTCCCCTCCCCTGCCTCACTGCAGCCGCTGCTGAAGTTTTGATGCTTGGTGTTCAATGGGACACGGTTTTCTTTCTCACCCGCAGAGGGTATATCGTGAGGATGCTAGATCACAACGTCAGATTAAAAAGCAAAGCAAAACAAAAACCAACACTCTGGGATTGCACGTTTTATGAAATCGTACAGATTGCTGGGATCCCTTCCCTTTTCGCCTTCTCTCATCTCGCCACTCTGTGTACTATAAGAAATGAATTACAGTATATTCCTTTTGGAAGGGGAAGAGTGCATAGAGGAACCTCTGTCTAGCGTTCGGTCGTACCCAACCTTTCTTGGGCTGCATTGCACTGCAGTGCAGGGAACTGACAACAACTGGATATGGTCTTTCACAAAGGGGTTGGTGGTGCCCAGATGTGATTCAGAAATACTCCTGGATCTCAGAGATGGTTGTGGACAGAAAATAACTTTTATTCTAATTTTCAAAAATTGACTTCTGCAGGCAACCCTTGCATCATTTAGAAACTCAGAGGAAGCCCCTCCCTGCCTTTTAGTATTATTGGAAATTATTAGTGTTAATGTTTGTCGGTGTGCCACATCAGCAACCTCACCAACCTAGATTACTATCAGTGTATGTTTCATGAACAATAATGTTAAACTTTTATTGTAACATATTTTATTTTATTTTGTGGCGAGTGAATCCTTGTTTGACATGTGCCTTTTAGTATGCAAAACTGGAAAACAGTAGTACCTGGTTCTTTAGTAAAGTGCTGCCATTCTGTTATAGCAAACAAAACATGGAAAATAAAAACTGTTTTGTAAGGGAAAAAATAGTAAATAATCATTGGATAAAAAAAAATCTCCCAATTGCATCTTTGTTCCCTTGAGGGCCCAGGAAATCTTGTTCATAACAAAATTTATTGTGAAACTTCTGCAATGTTGCCAGATATTTAAAATTATTTTTATGATGTAGATTTGTAAGAGTGCCTCCTACAATACAAGTGAAATAAGCTAAAGTAAAATATTGATAATTAATTTCATTGGTAAATCCCGTAAGTAATGCCACTCATGTAGAGAAAGGAACCCAAAGGACAAATGTTCTTATATGTTCCTTTTAATTTTTAATATTTTATTGATCAAGACTTCAGCCCTATACCTTTTATGAGGTAGTAAGCTCCACTGAGTTTAGTGGGACTTTGTTCCAAATGAACATGCACAAGATTGCTCTTTTAAGAAATCTGCAATTGGCATCTCTGCCTGAGGGAGGTGGGGGGAGTAGCAGGGCAGAACATGCTTTTGTCTTCAGTGAGATACAGTGCCTGTAATTGATATCTGTGTCATCTCTATCTCATGCAGAATCTAAAACTCAATTTTGCCTTTCTGGCAGTCTGCATGAACCAGGCCCAATTTTTGGACTTCCTGCATGAACGCCACATTTTATACCATCTTTGTTGCCTGGTTAAGAGTTCTGGAAAACTCAAAAGCTTGCCTTAATTGTAAATACAGTATTTAACGATCCAGCAAATGTATTGCCTAAACCAGAACTTTATATGAATCGCTCACACTGTATTTTAGTAAAGCAAGTTCAAGTACTGTATTAATAAGTACACAAGGAACTAACATTACTTGATATCCACTTTATGTTTAAAAATATATACTTTGGTGAGAATCCCCCCCCGTAATTAGGTTTGCATGAAGTGCTTTTGTTTTTCAGACAGTACTGTATTTGAAAACTTCATTAAAACGATGTTGCATTACTATGTAAGTGTTCCCCTTGATTTTGAACAATATAGCTAGAAATGACAATGAAAAGACAAAAGCACACATATGCCTTTTAGCTGCATTCTTGGACAATATGTTGAATGGTGTGTGGTAAAATGATCAGAACATTGATAATGCATCCTAATTCTCAGTTGTGTGCATGTGGGGTTGTAAGATTTCAAAATGAACAGAAAAATCAGTATTGCTTAGTACATGAAAAAGGAAATTATAGGCTTAATGCTCATGAAAATCTGACTGTACTGGAAGCTGGATGTAGTCTGATAAAAGCCATTAAGAACAAAGACGTAAGAACAGAATAGGGCTGTGCTACAACTAAATACAAAATGAGCGTTATATTAAATTTTACCTTAATGGGCATAAAAGCCAAGCAGATTCCAGCAGAACTAATTTCTAAGTAAATGGTGCATGATCCACACTGTCTTTCAAACAGTGCAGTCCTAACAGTGTGACTTGAGTAGAAAGCCACCTTGAATACATTTAGGGCTTGTTCCCTTACTAATGGAGCCAGACGACATAGAGTGTACCTTGCAGAAATCCTCTATAGTTGTGTTTATGAAAACCTGGTTGATGCTTGTTTAATCAAAATGCACAATTGAAGTGCATTTGCAAACATGAAGGGGAGCCAGCAGTGGTTGCTATCTTGGTATTATATTAGCGCATATATATATATATATATATAAGATGCACATCTTAGAACAGACTACAAGTTGGTTTTCAAAATGTCCAGGTAGCAATATTTGTAGCTTAATTTTTTAGAGTATGTAAGAGTCTAAGTAACAATATGATGTTATTACTGAAGTGCATTGGACATATAGTGGTTATATGCTGGAGGGCCCTGAGAACAATGAAAACTGATGTCATAGGCTTTTAATGTTTTCCTTTATTATGAGAAATGCATTTTTTTCTGAAGAAGAAAACATCTTTCTGCTTTAAAATTAAAGCTGAAAGACAGGGCAACCTTTCAAAATGTCCTTAATAAAATGTATGCTTGCCAAATAATGATTTAACGTAGAACTGTATGTAGCCATTTAATTAGTTTCTAGTATTTGCATATTGCAAGCCAGCAAATGTGTAAACTTTAATGAAAGTATACATTTTGACAAACTATTAGAAAAAGAGTTTTTGCGTTAAACATTCATTTAAAACAAAGCATTCAATTCATTCTTTGCCATCACTGAAACTTTTCTCTCTGTTTTCTGATAACAAAATAAGAACATTATTAAAGATGTACAGAGAATAGTTGCAGAATTGTAGGAGATAATTCCTTATATTTTAAAAAGCTGTTATTTCAAAGGTAGAAAAATTACTAAAGATTTAACAGTATTTTTGCTGCTCACCTATTTTAAAGATTTAACACATATTATAAATTGGAACACACAAAACTGTAGTGGTTATATTAAGATCATATGTATTTTCATCATGTGGAGCTAAGCAAAATTGAACTCTTGATGGATGTGAATTGGGAAAATGTCCCCAATTTTTGTATGTCTACAATTTATATATTTCTTTCACTAGGGGTTTTGTGTGGTAAGGAATTCTGGTAATGTGAAAACCTGCCAAATTTTGCCAGCAGTTTTAAGATTTTATTGAGCATAGATTATATTATGCAGACCTATTTTGGCATTCACAGGGAATACAAAAGCTGTTGTTTTTTTCCCTTTAAAAAATGAAAGTGAGTGTCTCAGTTTCATGACTGCTGAGTGATACATATTTTATCCGAGTTGAATAGATTTGTGGAAGTTGGGGAATAGGTTTATAGCAAAGCAGCTGGATGGGATCTGTGAGTTCCATTATAATTTTTGAAATAAGGATTATAGAAGTAAAAATATCAGAAAAGAAGTCTTGCTGTGATTTAATGCTTAAGGCCTATATCCTGTAGCGTCAC